TAGATTATGTTGTAGCGGCGTTGCTTCTCAGGAAAAAAAATAAAGTGTGACCAACACAATGCTGCTTCACAATTGTCTTTTTTCTTTAAACCGATAATAAATAATTTAAAAAGTTTTATTTCAGGAACATCAGAAGTCGTCTTTTTAATCTTGTTTTGCACAAACATCGCCGCCTCAAAGACGTCTTTTTGGGCGCGTCCTCTGAAGACCGACCTCAGCCACGTATTCTCTCTAGAAGCTCATTTGGAAGTACTTCTGGCTGCGTTCCTGAAGAAACGCATATCGACGCTTATTACGACTGGAAAACATCTTAAAGTTCTAAAGGTAAGACAGATTTTTTTATGCTCTGACTGTTAGATTATCTCTTTGGGTTTCAGATTTAGAGCACGAAGTCAGTGTTCGACAGCAGCGTCTAAGAGGTAACGAAGAACAAAACGGAATGTGAGTACGTTCAATCTGATTGTGCTGATACAGGCATTTATCCTCGGATAATACAAGAATTTATTCGTTCACTCCTTAGTGGGATTCAAACCCACAACATTTGTTTATTTAATGGTGCTCCTAGAGTATCAAAGAATGACATTTTCAAGACTTGCAATCCCAAACGATGCTGATTGAATTCGAATCGATGACAGTAGTCTAGCAGACAATTCCAAGGCCTTTTAAAGGAAATGGAGTCTGCGATTAGTTTCCAAGTGCGCAACAAAACTTGTGTTTTTATGTTATTGATTCTGTTTTTAAGAAATATTTGATTTAGGTGGAAGAGCTTCAGCCGTGATATGGCCCATCGGCAGTCATGTGCAACCTGTAAGTACCAGAATATAGTAAACCCTTCTTCTTCAAGAGGATAAACAAGCTTACCCAAACAGGCTCGTTCAAGAAAATAGCTTTGAAGTCAGTTGTGCTCCTACTTCATCAAAAGTCTTAACTTTGTAGGTAAATACTATTTTCCAGTGGGATTCCAACCCATGAGCATTGCTTTATCAGTAAGCAAATCGATATGAAATGTTAATGACATTCAATCGCCAGAGTGTCTGGGAGAAGCTGCATACTTTGAAGTTCATTTGCAACTGCCATGTTAAAACTGTTGCTTTGATAATCTGTTTTAAGAAGCTTTTCTTTCAGGTCTGTGCAATTCCGGAAGTTGTTTCCAACCCGCAGTCGTAGCCGGCCCATTGACATCGGGATTTGAACACGTGACCCTAGGTACCAGAATCGAGGTAAGTACTGGAAAGCTAAAATATGTTTAAGCAAAAATTCTGAAAGGAAATGAAAAAGCCTTTGATTATCATTTCACGCCATGACTTTCACTCTAATAATCATCGCATTCGAAGCTCTACAAAGATAATTAAATTTCACGTTTAAATCCGGGAACACAAAAACTGGAAAAGATTTGAAAAGATCGTCAGCACGGCTCTTTTTAGTTTCACTAAGTCTTTGCAACTTTTTCAGGGTATGAGAGTTTTCAATTGCAACTGAATTTGAAAAATGAAGTATTTCCGTATTTTTTCTTCGTTTCTCTATACGTAGCTCTCTGAAGGGTTTAGAGCCTCGTCACTACTATTTCCTCATTTTCTCATCTTTTTAATTTTCAGCCGTCAGACTACCCTCCTCAGTCAGACCTTTAGAGTAGGCCATGGAACCAGACCACATCAGCAGCCCATAAGATCTGCCCCAGGTCAGACCATCACATCAGACAATCAGACGAGTCTCAGATCCGACCACAGATCAGACCATGCACCAACTACCACACCAGACCATCGTCAGACCAGACCACCAAAATCAGCCCATCAGATCAGACCACCACCGTCACACCAGGCCACCAGATCAGATCAGCCCAACAGGCTACCATCCTTGACTGCTCCACTTCGAATCAGCACAGTACACCCAACCTCGTGAAATGGTACAGGTCAGGTGCATTCATTATGGGTTGGGTCAAGGGGGTATATAGAGCTCTGGATGAACCTTGCAAAGCATACTTTCCACACACGTTCGGCCTGAAATTTTCGGACACCTTTTTCGGCTTAACTTAACTATAGTTAGATTAGCTAGTGGGTTCCCAGGGCTGGTAAGGGCCTCCCTTTCCCTTTTTTTCATTAGTTGGGTTCCTTTGCAGGTGTTCGGTCATAAGTTCGGCTTTTAGGATTCGGCTTGGCTTCTAGGAAACGATTCGGCTGAGTTTTTTGCGCCTTTTTCGGATGAACTCACCGCCGGTCTTCGTCGTCGTCGTCGTCGTCAGTGCAATCTCCCGCTTAGTTGCGCCAAATTTAATTCATCACACTTCACTTGAGAGTCATTGCGCTGGGCAAGTGAAGCTTTCACTCGCAAGGTTCAACCAGACAGTGATTATTTTAAGACGTAACGTACTAAACTAGAGACGTAAGATCATTCAGCTGCAGTGAGAGGACCTCATTTGGCCTCCGCTTACAGGTTCAATGGTCTCTCTGGTTACAGGTAGATAGTCAGGTTAGTCTCGCAAGTTCGAGTCTGCTCCTACTTATACCAATTTGACTTTTCATGTTAAACAGTTATTCTGTGTTAATGCAAAAGAGAAAATTTTTGATGCGCGTTGATTTTCAGATTTCGAACTTGTGAGGTTAGATCAGTTGACAGGTTTAGTCTTACAAAGAAGGTAATTTGCGACCAGGCGTTTCTTCCCGGGAAGAGCTAACACCTTGTTGCAGGTTACCAAGGCATCATGTTACAATCCACACACTACAGGCTAGACCGTTTACAAATCGTAAGCGTAAGAAGTCTTCGAGACCAATCTACGACGCAGTTTCACTGCTGGAGGAGCACGAACAGTCCGATCGGATTTTAGGCAACGTTAGTAGCCTGCGAAGTAATTACGAGAATGCTAATAGGCGGAATATTTCGGGGACTCGCATATGGAGGCCTACCATACCTTGGTATGCGTGCCCCTGAAGGGCATTCATGTAAAAACCTCGCAGGTTATAGATAGTCTTTCAGTAAGTAGCAGGAGAGGATACTCTGGCGTGACATCGTTGACATTAAGCCGATTTAGTTTGTTTTCTTGTTAATTTTGCCTCGCTGGAGAGTTGTCTTCTTCGGAAGCCCTGCATTGCAGTACGCAGGCACAGATCGTCTACAAATGGTAGGCGTACGTAGTCTTCACGTCGACCGTTCGTGGCTATTGGTTTCTTAGTCCTCGTCCGAGGGAGTGGCCTGCAGTGTTCTACCCTCAACAGCTCTTGAAGTACATCATAACTGCGAGTGATCCTAAAGCAGCACGCTGTCTATTTATTTTTTTCCCAGAATCTTGTAACAAGAAATATTTGCTTTTGAAAATGTCAATAAAATGCTTTTGATCATATTGTACGTGACTGAGTTGTGGGTTCATTGCTACATCAAGGGAAGAGGCCGGCCGAAGAAAGAAGAACAAAGAACCTCCAGATGTACAGAGAGATAGTAAAGTTTATTAAGTAGGCCGGGTAGCTGCCTTTGCGGCGATGAATTGAGAGAACAAACATATAACACCAAAGCAGACAATGATGATGATGATGATGATGATGATGACGACTACTATAATGATGATGATCGTTCGCACTAAGACGTCATTCTGCTTCTACTAAATTTATTTTATTTGCCGTTAGTTTAAATTCATAATTGAACAGATGAAAATCACGCTAAAATGTAAGTTGGCTATTTTGCAAACAGAAGCCGATGACATCATAGTGAAAACGACTTCATCATTAGGAAGGCAAGGTAAAGACAGAGGAGACAGCATATAGCAATAACTTTAATGAGCTGTCTTAACTAACGTTGATATCCGTAAGGGCCTATATCCAATCCCCCTCCTCCCACCCCTTTTACATTTTTCATACAAATTCTTAGTCACCGTAATTTATGAAATAAGTTGAATTTTCTCTTGTCTGATCCCTTGTTACGCAGTTTTTAATGCTGCATAGTTCAATGTTAGTTGAGACAGCCACCAATATCTCATAGTAAAACTTTAATTGGCCGGCCGAACTTCACCTCTGGACAACTTCTCGTCATCATGGACTTCTACGACTTCGCTTTTTCCGATACCTACGTCGTTTTTTGGATTGTGGATACCAGTCTCCTTGGTCTTTTGTTGGAGGAACATGACAGTGTACAGCAGCCCATATAAGGTAGGGCTGATTTATGCTGGTACAAAGTTTGCGTAAAGCTGACTCGTTCGGTCTGAAATAGCAAAATCGGCTCATTAAATTTCCTCGTAACGCTTTGTTTGAAAGAAGCTAAGGTTCGTAGCTTACGTAAACATTGCACCGCATCAATCAGCCCAAGTAATAATCCAATGTGGCACAAGGTATGTGGATTTTCTTTATTTTTTAGGCGATTAGATTTTCTATTCGGTCCGTTCGTCTTTTTCCGGTTTTCGATTCGACTTTTGATCTGCTTCCGGATTCGGCTTCAAAAAATGTGAAGGCTTGGTATAGACAAAGTTTCCATAGCAAGCCGCCAGATATCCCTGCGTACCGTCCGGCGGACCCTGGTGTGTTTCATTCGAGGTGTCAAGGTTTTATGAACACATGTCACACTCCTCGGTCTTGCTCGGACGTCAAATTCTTAGAAGCGCACCCAATCTATATAGACTACTTAATTCCTGTAAACGGCAAACTCAATTGAATAAAAACGCTTAATATAATGTGTTGTCTGTGTGGTTTTTTCTTTTACTTTCAGTTAAATCTTTAGAGTAATTAATTGTAAGTACTAATGATGATTTGTTTTGCAGGGATATTACAAAATATGTGTTGTAATAACGGCCAAAAAAAAAAATGAAAATAAAACACTGAGTTGTGAGTGTGATGTCTTTTAACTACGCACATTGAGTGACATAAAGTGTCGCATCAGTGTGTTCGCTATAAAAACACAAATGACTAACTCATTTAATTTCAGGTGCGTCGGAAATCAATAAACCTATCTTTTTTTGGACTCCTCCACCACTTTTTTTCTTGGATAAATGGACGCACGCTTTTTGGGCGCACCCTCTCAAGATGGCACATGGCTTTTTTTTCGACCTTCTTTTTGGATGCGTTCTTGAAGAAACGCATGGAACTACCTATTCGCCAGAAGTCGTACGTGAGGTGCTGAAGGAAGGCAGAAGCTTTAATATCAAGGTTCTTTAATGTCATTGAATTGTACGTAATTAAAAGTTGATGAAAAATAAAGTTTAACAAACGAAAGGTTTATCATCAACTTGTTTGTTTGTTTATTTTTTTTGTTGTTCAATTAAACTAGCACTAAAAAAATTAAGTTAAGTTAGATTATGTTGTAACGGCGTTGCTTTTCAGGAAAAAAAAATAAAGTGTGACCAACACAATGCTGCTTCACCATTGTCTTTTTTCTTTAAACCGATAATAAATAATTTAAACAGTTTCTTTTCAGGAACATCAGAAGTCGTCTTTTTAATCTTGTTTTGCTCGAACATCGCCGCCTCAAAGACGTCTTTTTGGGCGCGCCCTCTGAAGACCGACTACAGCCACGTATTCTCTCTAGAAGCTCATTTGAAAGTACTTCTGGCTGCGTTCCTGAAGAAACGCATATCGACGCTTATTACGACTGGAAAACATCTCAAGTTCTAAAGGTAAGACAGATTTTTTTATGCTCTGACTGTTAGATTATCTCTTTGGGTTTCAGATTTAGAGCACGAAGTCAGCGTTCGACAGCAGCGTCTAAGAGGTAACGAGGAACAAAACGGAATGTGAGTACGTTCAATCTGATTGTGCTGATACAGGCATTTATCCTCTGATAATACAAGAATTTATTCGTTCACTCCTTAGTGGGATTCAAACCCACAACATTTGTTTATTTAATGGTGCTCCTAGAGTATCAAAGAATAACATTTTCAAGACTTGCAATCCCAAACGATGCTGATTGAATTCGAATCGATTACAGTAGTCTAGCAGACTATTCCAAGGCCTTTTAAAGGAAATGGAGTCTGCAATTAGTTTCCAAGTGCGCAACAAAGCCAGTGTTTTGATGTTACTGATTCTTTTTTAAGAAATATTTGATTTAGGTGGAAGAGCTTCAGCCGTGATATGGCCCATCAGCAGTCATGTGCAACCTGTAAGTACCAGAATATAGTAAACCCTTCGTCTTCAAGAGGATAAACAAGCTTACCCAAACAGGGTCGTTCAAGAAAAGAGCTTTGAAGTCAGTTGTGCTCCTACTTCATCAAAAGTCTTATCTTTGTAGGTAAATACTATTTTCCAGTGGGATTCCAACCCATGAACATTGCTTCATCAGTAAGCAAATCTACATGTCTTGAAATGTTAATGAGATTCAAACACCAAGGTGTCTGAGAGAAGCTGCATACTTTAAAGTTCATTTGCAACTACCATGTTAAAACTGTTGCTTTGATAATCTGTTTCAAGAAGCTTTTTGTTCAGGTCTGTGCAATCCCAGAAGTTGTTTCCAACCCGCAGTCGTTGCCGGCCCATTGACATCGGGATTTGAACACGTGACCCTAGCTACCAGAATAGAGGCAAGTACTGGAAAGGTAAAATATGTTTATGCAAATATTCTGAAAGAAAATGAAAAACCCTTTGAATATCATTTCACGCCATGACTTTCGCTCTAATAATCATCGTATTCGAAGCTCTGCGAGATAATTAAATGTCACGTTTAAATGGAATACCGTGAAATCCAGGAGATCATATCTGAAACAGCGGTTTGGCTACCGCGTAGACGGACCAAAACTCAAAGGAGGAACGTCCAAGGATTAAAAGGGATTCGTGACAGAATTAATTTTTAAAAAACATGGGAAAACTTTTGCTTGCTTTCTTAATCCATGTTCTTGAGAAACTTTCAGTTAGGTTAGAAAATTGCTGATAGAAGTCGGCGAGCTGAAAAGCAATCCGGAAGTCTCTCTGTAACTATCACACAGAAAGTGATTTGAACGAACCACCTGGCAGATCACAGGTAAGTACAGAAACATTTCTTTGATAAGCTAAAAACCTCGTTCTTAAGATCTATTTTATATAGATCCAGAAGATTTCAGGTGCGCCTCATCAAGCCTGCATGCAGCAAGTGACTCGAAAATTATGTGAAGGAGCCTGCGTAACTCGACAAGAGGCAAGTATAATCTTTCTCCATATTTGCAAAGGATAGACTTGAAAGAAATTAGGTTCGGATCCAAACCGTGCTGAAAGTTTTTTAATGGAATTAAATGAACTAAACATACACTAAAACTGCAATGATGAAGGAGTAAAAGTGCTTAGCTAAACCTTTATTCTGGCCGAAGTTTTACTACATATCCTTGCCGTCCCAAGGCTTTTTTTCTAGCCAGATTTAGGGGCAGTCTGACGAGGCACAGTCAGGGGAAGATGCAGGATTTTTCTCAGGAGGGGTGGAACCACAAAGGAATGGCGTAACTGACTGGTGACGTAAACAAACTTTAATACAGAATACCAGTTGTATTAAAAAGCTGCAGGTCATCTCGGGGGGTACACCCTCCCCCTAGACCCCCCTGACAGTCATGAAAGTCATGAGTAGAGGGTTAGATAAATGGCTGACACCTATTGCATTGATTATGATGATTATCTTGCTGATGACAATGACGATGATGAGGAAGACGGCAATAATGGAAATTCCATGTCTTTCTACAATGGGTGAAAACGTCCATTGAAACTTAACTAATTTAGACGTCATCCAAATCCAGCTACATTAACTAATCCATATAACTGTAACTGACACAACAGCAAGACAAAAGCGACTGAGTTTTCCCGATACTTCAGATGGTCTAGGTGTTCTTCTCGGAGAATTTTAAGGCCAGTAGGGATAACTACATTTGAAATGATCAAATGCAGGTGGCCAGGAGCCGATCGGCTCCTAAGGTGGCCTAATTGGAATCACGAAATTAAAGAAACGAAAAAGGTCAAAAGAGGAAATAAATGTAGGAGAATGGAGCAAAAAAGAATTTAAAATGAAAAATGAATAAAAAAAGAAAAATAAATAGATAAATAGTGATAAAAATAATAAACAATAACATATCCTATAATAATGAAACTAAATATAAAGAAATTCAAATGAATAATAATAAGGATATTAATAATGATCACGATAATGATAATAACAATAGGAAAGGATTTAACAAGCAGCTGCAAAAAAATACTAGACTGATCTTTGAAAACGTAACTTAGCAGAGTCACGTTTCAAAAATTCAGCTAGAAGTACAACGCTTCCCCTTTCCTATTACAATCATTATATACGATCATTATTATAATTTTTATTATTATTATTATTTGAAATTTATTTTATTAACTCAACGTTATCAAAACCCAAGTTCATTATTGTTACATTCTTTAAATTTATTTACTTTTTTGACCTTTTTTTGTCCTTGTTCTTTTGTCATTATTTTCAATTTTTTATCCCTACTGACCTGTTATATTTTCTAAGTTTTAGACAAATTTGTCAAATTTCTAACTGTGCTGTTTTCATACTATATAATCACGTCAACCTGACTATCGGATATATCTGGAAACACAATGGAGCTTTTGTCTTTGCTGTTTTGTTATTACAGCTTATTAAACACACGGACCAAATGAAGAAGTGTGGGGGGGTGGAGGGTAGTAAGCTTTGATAATAATTATGTTCATTTAAACGTGTGGTCTTGACTTGGTCTTGAGAGATTTAGAAGCAGTGAACGTGGACAGGCTAAGCAGTCTGAAGTGGCATTGCGATGTGAAGAGAGCTTGACGACTGATGCATGTTACATTGATGATGATGATGACGAGGACGATGATGATGATAATGATGCTGACTTATGCCGACAAAGATGAAGACTGATAATGCTGATGCTGATTCGCTGAGAAAGACTGATGCACACGATGATGAAGATAAAGATGATGACAAAGGCTGTTGAAGATGCTGACGATGATGTTGGTGACGCTACAAAGGACGGTGATGCTGACAGTGATGATGATGATGAGGATGATGGTGATGATGATAAGGCAGATGCTGACGATTATGTTGATGACGATGATGCTGACGATAGTGATGATAATTATGATGATGATGATGATGACAATGACGGATGCTGACGATTATGTTAATGACTCTTAAGATGACGATAATGCTGACCATGATGATGATAACGATGCTTGTGATCTTGTTCTTGTACAGCTCAGTAAATGGCCATGGCGTCTTCACTTGGTGAGCACCAAACACTTACTTTTTCCTTTTTCAATAGCTGACTCGAACCTCCAGTCACCTCCCTTCTCTCTCTTGAATATCAACGAGATAGGTGCGTGGAAAATGCTCCTCGCTCAGATGCTGTAATAGTCTCGTGTGATCAGTCCCTGTCCGAAAGAGTCAAAAGAGAAGGCTGAGAACGAGTCAGCTTCATAAGAGTAAAGGTAAAGATCTAAAACTGAAACCAGAAGTGCCAGGGAAAACAAGATTTAAAAACCAGAAGATTTGACTTTGTTCACTCGTAAGCTTTCTGTGCTTTACTTATTAAAGCTGTAAACTGCAAAGGAAGAACAGAAAACGCATTCTGGAGTAAGATACCTTAGATTTCAAACTCCATAAAATGGATTAGTTTTGCTTAATTCAATTGCATACAAAACAAAACAGAAGTGGGAATAAACATTGAAGGCGCCTGCCCCTATGATAAATTTGAGGCTATAAAAAATACACCACGAAAATACTCTGCAGCTATAGTAAAATAAACCTGGGAGATCCTTATTTTTAAAAAAATTAAACAAAGGTGATTCCAAACTGTTTCCTCCCAGCAGCACCCATGAGAAAAGAGGGCTATTCAAGAGTCCATATATCATATTGGAGAAAGAAAGTGGATTTACTTGCAATACTCTACCAACATACGTGGAGGAGAAACCAAGCAAAGATCAACTTTAAACTACGATAGACTCTATGATATTTAAGTGAGGCCCATGTTCAAATTAACAGCCTGCTTTTCGCACCGCTCTCCCTTGCTTTCGCCAGCAAAGATCGTCGAAGAAAACGGATTTAGCCAATTCTATAAGGTTTAAACTCGACAATTTGTTTTTTTACTAAGCTTTTATCCCATATAATTTACTTTGAAACCTGCCATCGATTCTAAACAGCAGCGGGTTTGAACTTGGGCCTATGTTCTGAGGAAGAAGTAGTAATCATTCTCAGCCGATGGATCATAGCAGTTTAAGGAGCGGTCTGTACTAGCTGAACTCTTTCAAAGCATTTATGAACATAAAGAAAGTGTGGTTGAACGTACCTCAGAGTTTGTTGAGCCAAACCTATGGTGTCACCATGGAAATAAGACTTCTTCAGCAGTACTTCCTCGTAGGAACAATCATTATTTAGGATTTTAAGAACTAGAAAGCAAGATAGGTTTAGTATTCTTAAAAGGCTGTTAAAGCAAAAGGAATAGCAAAAATCTGTACTGTAGTTTATTTGTTCTAATCAGTATTGGTTTCGTGCTAGATAACATGAAACAAGGTCAATATGTAACAAATGTCAGAAGCATGATGTAAAGTGAGAAAGCTATTTTACAAGATTTAGAGACTGAATTGATCAATTCGGCTACGAACGCGTAACAGCGTAACTTGGAACTTCTGAATTCTTCTTAATTAATGCCACTGACTTCGCTGATTTCATAGCTTTTAACATGTAACATAACCAGCAATAACCTTATAATGCATGAAGATTTTTAGAGGTTCCGAGGAAATGTTTTCAATGATCTGAATTTATCTGAACAAAAAAAATTAAAACGTTATAGTGGCTATCTGCCCATTGAAGGCACGAAAACTTAGCTTTCAAACCTTTACATTGGTCCAATAAACATAATTTAATTCAGCTCTGCAGGCACAAAAACAGAATTTCAGGTTAATGCGCCCGTGAAACGCTTGACATCATTGCTTGTGCACTTTGAAACGGCGACAGTCGTTCAGTCTCTCTATTCTGGGGTCAGCCTTGCCGACTCAACAACTCAGCGAGCAAACGGTTTTTTCTTTACTTTTAGCCTAGCTAAGCTAAGAGGTTATTTCTTTTTACTTAAAGCTGAATTTTTTCTCGTATTTATATAAGCTAGCAGGTCTTAAAACCCCAAAGGCAGCACCGTAGCATTGGCTGGGGGTACACGGTCCCCATCTTTTTTTTCCAAAATTGGTTTTTCGGGGTTTGCGTGTCCGGCTGTGGTGTTTTTTTTTTATGAAACACGTATTCTTATTATAGAGGTTAAGTATCACGTTTACGTCTAACAGGAAATGCGAATTTGTACCATGCGATCAAGTTTTCCTTTTACTTGCTGTTTACTGTTTTAACAGATAAATTAGCAGTTTAACGCAATTTTTTATCCATAAGAATTGTTTTGAGCTGCTTTTACCTGCACATTTTCTGTTTTGAGAAATTCTCAACTTGAATCTGAAGTTTGCCATATACGTGATGCTTAACCTCTGCAAGGTATTTCTTTCCAATAAAGTGTACTGTCTTGGGCTTCATAAACCGCGAGTTTGTTTCGTTTGGTGGTTCATACGAAGAGGATGCAAAATATTTTGTCAACTAGAACATGAAGATTTACGCTGTTATAGTCGGGTAACTCGATTAAATAAACTCTTTTTTCTTTTTGTTCTGCGAAAGGTTAATATGCAATGTTCCCTTGTTCCCCCGTTTCCCTGTTTCCTTGTTTCCTTGTTCCCCTGTTCTCCTGTTACCCTGTTCCCCCGTTACCCTGTTTCCGAGTGAATCTGTGGAATCGTTCCCCTGTTCATCAGTGAATCTGAAAAATTTCACTCAGATGAAGAGACCCCATAACTCAGTAAATGGCCGTGGTATCTTCACCTGGTGAGTTTCAGAACGCTTAATATCTATTTTTCATCCCCTGTCCTCTCTCTCTTAAACATCAGCGAAGGAAGCGCGTGGAAGATGTCCTTCGTTGAGATGCTGTTATAGTCTCCTGTGACCATTCCGTGACCGAGAGAGTCAAAAGAGAAGGCTGGGAACGACTCAGCTGCCATGACCTAGAAAACTGCAACGAAAGGGGTGAGGAAAAACAAAGCTTTGCTAATGTGTCTAGTTAGACAAGTGGTCTTAGCTTTCCTCAGTCGTCAGCACCTGGTCAGGTTTCTGTGCTTTACTTGTTGAAGCTGTAATCTGCAAAGGAAGAGCAGAAATCGCATTCTAGACTAAGATACTTTGGGATTCAAAGTCTGTTCAGAGGCACCATCAAATGGTTTTTTGCTTCATTAATTGCAAACAGAACAAAAAAGAGGTGAGAATAGGCATTAGCCGCACCTGCCTGTATTATAGAATTAAGGCTACACATTCCTCAATACACGAAATAAATACTTTGCAGCTAATATAGAAAAATAAACCTGGGAGATCGTTATTTAAAACTGAAAAAATAAAGGTGTCTTTTCCAAACTCTGTTTTCGTCCCAACAGCTTTGTCCATAATTATATCATATTGGAGGAAGAGTGTGAATGTACGTTACCCTGCTATCCTACGTGCCGGAGAAACAAGGCAAAGACAAGACGCGTTTACCACGCGTGTATTGGGCTGTAGTGGTGATTTTCTATACTGAGTGTGTACCTACTCATATACCCGAGAAAATAAACAGAGACAGAGACAGATGCATTTAAAGATCACTTTAGTTATATTAGCGCGAGTTCGACTGTTGTATTCCGGACTAATAGAAGGATAGACAATAGAATACAAGGTTTAAACTAGGGGAAAAACTCTTGTTTCGGCTTTCAATGAATGGAAAATAAAGCAGGGACGACAGAACATTTTTCCAAACGCGGGGCAGGTTGGCTGACTAGTAACTGTACCCTTCCCCCTCGGCTTCACCGTCCATAAAAAAAAACTGCGGTCGAAGAGATTATATGCTCAGATTTTTGCGTATTCTCGTTCAATACATCAATCGAATGCACCATATGTTCGAAAATGCTGTTGTTTGAATTAGTTTTTCAGCCAGAGGGCAACGTTGCGACATATTCGCCCTTCCGTAACAATAGTTTATACACAGGCAGCCCAGACGTGGTGTGTCGATATTCGTTAACATGGACAAAAGAGGTCGATCGTTGCTGGAGTAGACGATATTCGACTGAAGTTCCAGTTTGACGTAAGTTACTGCCGAGTAGCCTGACTATAAGAGGACCAGTAGAGTAATTATTTTCCCCACAAACTAGAGCATGGCCTGTTTGTAGCGGTCCACAAAAATATCACAACATGTTTTCTTTTTTCTTGGAAATCGATTGTCTATATAAATGAAAACAATACGGTAGTTTTCAATTCGCTAGAAACAACCCAATTATTTTGCGCCTAAAGTAGACTAGTGTATTGTGTTTGAAAAAACGCCTGCTTAATGTGCCCGATGGTTGCTAGACGAAATGTTTTCAGCGGTAACGACTATGCATTTATGTGTAAAAATGCAAACAACTTGCTAGATATCAAGAAATTATTATGCAAACATGGGGAGTTCGCGTCCCAACTCCCAAGGAAAGTAAATGCCAAGGCAAGTGAGCAACAGAGTCCACGATTTTGTCGTAAAAAAATTTAACCATTACGTCTCTTTTTTGTAATTTTACTCAAAAATAACTCGTCCGAGCGATTGTTAAGATGCGTTGGAACCCAGCGAGCAGAAGATGGAACGCGTGACACGGAAAACCAGAAAATAGAGTTTGCTAGATCCCGTGCTGCTTGAATAATCAGATTTTCTCAAACCCAGCGTTAAGGTGTATTTTGGGAACGTTTTAGAAAAGTTTGTAAAAGATTATTTTGTCGATGGTTATGATAATTTGTGAAGTAGATCTGTCATATGAGAGTTAGACGTGAGTTAGAGGTCTCATAGAAGGCTCAAGTAGAATTGCACTAAAAACTAAGTAATCGATAGATTAAAAGGTAATCATGTATTTTAGCGACATTTTTTCAAATTAAAGGAATACTTACTACAAAAATTAGTATAATGCAAAAGAGCATTTTGACAACACGGAAGTGAAAAGGGCATGCACTTAACAGCCTGGCGAGTCAAAATAAATTTATTATTTGGGAAACTAAATTTTACGATATTTATGATCAGTCCAACGCAAAAATTACTTGCCGAAGTAATTTATACTCGCGAGATTTATTTGTCCTACTTTCCGGCCAGGTATTTACAAAATCGCAAAATTAAAGTACTTGCTAAATAAGGAAGTTTCAAAATTGCAAATTAATCACCTCATACAAGTCCTAATGCGAGCATAGTAGCGAAAATAACGTGTTTTTTAGCTTGCATTCTCTTCAAAAGTTTCCTACTTAAAGGAACAGTATCCCGTTACTGCGCATGCACCAAATTTTGATTTTTGGATAGGATGTCGCGAAAAATCGAAAGATGCGAGGAGAGTAAGAGAACCTTGAAAAATCCGTTTGCATCGCGCTTGGCCGAGTTCAATGCTGCGCTAAAACTTCTCAGGATTACAGATCAATGATATATTGTTTCTGTGAAGTTTCGATTTGGACGAAATCGGGATTTTTTGTCGAAACTTTTATTGTCGTTGGCCGGAGGACCAAAAGATGGGAAGCACTTTGATGCCGATTGAAGGCTTATTTCTTCTGCTAGCTTCTATACAAGCTCAGATAATTGTAAAAGGTACACGCAGAAATGAAACAGCAACAATTAAGACTGTAAGAAAGAAACCATTGAGACATTGATGTGACTGAGGAGATCTTCAGGGGCACCCAACGGGAATATAGTTCAAAACCACTTAAACATAGCATTTTTAAACGTATGTTAGTATTTAAACGGTAGATAAAGGCATATTTTTATCCCCTAAAACTTTTTCATCTGTTCGGATTTCCTAGCTGAAAGTCTAGTGATCTGAAAATTATAGGAATCAAAACTTACCTTTTCGAAAATTTCAGCCAGAAAATAGGCTCCCGAAAATTCTAGGTGACCTTTTTAGGGTAAAAATCCGTTAAAAATAGGCAATTATACCATTTTTTAGATGTTCGAAAATCCTGGGAGAGGCAGGCAAGCAAGAAGTTTTACAACAAATGTTTCGAAAATTCTAGATCTCAAATCGTCTTCCGAACAGATATTTTTCCGAAAATTGTCGTTGGGTGCCTCTGGATCTTGAGGGACCTTGTGGAGGGAAGCTTCGTGAAGCAGAATGTTTTGCAACGACGCTTTAGTAAACTTTTAAATGAATCTCCCTACGACCGACAAAATCAAACAAACAGGCGCTACATGTTTAGAAAAACCAGTTCCATGAAATCATAATATAATTTTTGACTAACCTTTGCGATCATTCATAGCGTTGATATTGCATTTTTATTTATGTCTATCAAACGTTTCAGGCTAGAACGCGAGCAAATCAGGCAGATATTACTGGACTTGGAACAACTATCCTACTTAGCTAATTAATTATTCATACGACAACAGTTGTAAGACGTTGTATGAAAACTATCCTGTTTCTCCATAATTGAGCGAAACGTCCATTAAATTTTTCCTTTTAGTATTTTGTTACATTTATTTGTGTGTGACTGCGTTTCAGGCCTCTTAGGATGCCAAGAGCCGGAAAACAACACTACCCATCAAGCTAATTAATTATTCGTACAGCAAGAAAATTATCAGACGTTGTATGGAGAAATATTCTTTGCTCACTAAATTAACAAAATGTACATTGAATGTCGCTTTGAAGCTTACCTTTAGCGTGTTCTTGTTTTTCTTTGTATTCTGAGTACATTTCAGACGTCCTAGGCACTGTTTAACGCCTTTTTTTGAGCGACAGTTTTTCACCCAGATGACAGTAGAGAGAAGAGAAGAGAAGGTTGGCAAACCTCTCTTGACCGGCTCCGCTCTCGGCGGCGATAAATTCCCTAACATTTACGACATGGACACAATTCGGCCAGAAACAGATGTCCTGATAAATAACGCACATTTTCCATCATTCACATCGCCAAAATTCCCATTTCGAAGGTCCTAAATCGCCAACAAAGTGGACAATACACGGCCGTGGCTAGGCGAGTCGAGAGCAGACCCACAACGGACTCCAACCGTCAAGTTCACAATTTCAAACCGACGCGGGCTGGCAGGGTCAAATTGTTCGACCGTCAAAGCACAATTGGAGCGTTTAGCCTACTGGGCACAGTAACTGATGTTTCACTTCTCACATTGCACTCGCATCGCGTGTCAGATATATACTGACCTGTTGCACTTGGTTGATCTCCACTCTTCTTTTTAAAAAGCGTTTGACAATAGTTTTTATGTATGATTTAGAAAAAAATATTGCAATAAGAATTACGGCTGTAAACAGTTGTTAGCTATTTTTTTTCCTTTTTCAGTAAGTGGCAGTAAGTAGCAAGTCTGGGACAGGATCTTCTCAGGTGCTCTTATCTACTGAGAGTGTTTTTACGGAAAGGAAATATGTAAATAAATATTTCATTGAATGTTCTCTTGGTAATTCTGCCACATTAGCTAGACCGAGTTTAAGATCAAATTATACATCAGCTGCTTACAGCGCAAGCAAACTATTTCTGAAATGTGAATTCAAATTGTAGTAGCTATTTTTCTATTCATTGGATTTCTTGACGGTACTATTAATCATGACAGAAAGGTAAGATGCTTGACTTCCGTGACCCCGGAGTGAGTGAAACTTTAGTTACTGTGCCTAGTAGGCTAAATGCTCCAATTGTGCTTTGACGGTTGAACAATTTGACCCTGCCAGCCCGCGTCGGTTTGAAATTGTCGACTTGACGGTTGGAGTCCGTTGTGGGTCTGCTCTTGATTTGCCCAGCCTCGGCCGTGTATTGTCCACTTCGTTGGCGATTTAGGACCTTCGAAATGGGAATTTTGGCGATGTGAATGATGGAAAATGTGCGTTATTTATCAGGACATCTGTTTCTGGCCGAATTGTCTCCATGTCGCAAATGTTACGGAATTTATCGCTGCCGAGAGCGGAGCCGGCCAAGAGAGGTTTGCCAACCTTCTCTTCTCTTCTCTCTACTGTCATCTGGGTGAAAAACTGTCGCTC